TAAGGTTTCAGCGAATGTGAAAGTTAGCGATTTCGGCTGGTTTTTGAAGAGCTCGGGCTAGTTTAAATGAGGGGCAAAAAAGGAGAAGTCCAAATCACAACGGGCCTAAGTGGCCTATGTCTACACTACGGGGAACCGCGACAACCTAACCTAAACCTACCCTATTTTATATTCCTTTTAAAAAATATCAATCATATACGTCATTTTAAGTAGTTTATAAGTAAGTAAGTATGTTTAAGTAAAACACAATATTATATTACAATATTAGCACATACGGCACATATTACACTTTCTTATATTATTATTCTTGGTTTTTAAACAAGAAATTTGCATCATATAAAATAACCAGAATACTCTCATAGTTAAATTTTCATAGATAAACACAAATACTATAAGTATGTATTGTTGTGTATTTCATACATATGAAAATCTAGAGTACTTATTTTGTATTTACTTATGTACTTGAGTAGGTACACATATATTTTTATACTTAAAAATCTGTTGATAGCCTTGAATTTCTTCTTCGTGTTTCTATAATACATAAGCAATGAAAAAAATCATATATGTATCTACTTATAAATAAATACCTATATACATTATATTATAATTTTTATTAACACCGTTAAGGTAAAAAAGAAATATACAACGATTTATAAAAACAAAAAAAAAATAGAAAACATATGTACGTATATACACGTGATATATAACAAGTAATATACAAAGCAATTATGAACAGCATAAAGATCATCAAAGATTCATAAAAATATCCATACACATATATGTATACGTAACTAGTTTCAAAAATAATAGGTAAGAATATGCGATTGTACCAAGTAAGTATTAGGTAGATAAGTAAGGTACCTACTTATCTAAATTCTTTATTTTGATGCAAGTTACATATAAAAGCACATACAGGATAAATTTGTTCATAACAAGAGGTAAAAAAAAAACAATACAACACCAGTTGATGATTTCATAATCTTAATTGGAAAATATTCAATAAAATTAATTTGTTTTTGCTTCATTCAGAACTTATCAATGAAAAAAACCAAACACATTTTTTTGTGGGCACATAGCTTTGAATTTTAAAAGAGAAAACAAAATGATGAAGAAATTTTGGAAACACAATTTTGTAAAAAATTATTTATAGAAATGGTATGATGAATTTTAGGAAGATTTTTAGCTGCATGTTATGTAATTAAGAAGAAAGTTTTATTAAACTTATTTTTTAAAAGTAAACTTATCACAACTCCCTAAGGTACACCATATACAAATGGACAATAGTTTTAGTGGTTGTAATCAATAACAAAATTTATGTTTATTATTCATTATGGTAAACAACGTCTTATAGCAAAACTAGTGAGGTTTGGGCAGATACCTATTTGATTATAATGTAATTTTCCAAATAATTTACCATGCCTACTTATAAAGTATATATCTGTCTAATTTAATTCATAGGAAAAGTAATATTTCCTATAAAACACAAAATTTATAAATTATAAATTTAGAAAAATATAAAATAACATAAAATATCTTCATATAATTTTAATTTAAATCTTTAATATTTTGTGTATAATAAATTAATTTCAATTTTAATCAATAATCAATAAAGTTCAACACGGGATAAATTGACCTAAAATCCGGACATCGAAATGCAGTTTACTTACATTTTTTCTTTTTTTTTTTTCTTTTTTATTTTGTAGTCAAAATAAAACAAAAGATGGTGGGTTTCTTTCAGTTAGAAACTCAAAACAAAGTTTTAGTCGAAAAATTAAAATTAAACATTTATCAATATAAAAATCTTTAGAATTTTTATAAAGAATTACTTTATTTGTAAATTTTTCAAAACAAAGTTAAAACTTACCTTCCGAGGAATATTTAAACCAGTATCCTTTTTAAAAATAATTTCTTAACAACAATTAATTAGTATAATGTTCTTTGTTTTATATTCAATATTTATTATACACGATTGATGATATTATTATTGCATACAACCACCTTGTTCTACAAAAATATGGAAAAAACAAAAAAAATCCTGTCTGGCTTTAATGGCTTATATGTACTAAACAAATAATTATTTATTCGAAAGAACTAAGAATGAAAAATAATAAAATTTCCCGGAATAAATATTATTGTTATCTAATTTTTCAGCTTTTTTCATAATGCCTAGCATAATATATTTGTGAAAATAATTTCATCCTATTAAAAAAAATTAATTCGAAATTTTATTCAGTAAATTTTCTCTTTTCATTATTATTCCAATTCAAAATTTAATAATAAAATTTTTAATGCACAAAATTCAGACATTTTTAATTTTTCTCTGATTCCAATTCGTTATAACTGAACAAACACCATTTAATATTTTTCTTATTCCTTTTGCCTCTTATTTTTTCTGATATACAAGTATAGCTTATTCTACGAACTTTATATTTTTCCACTTTTCTTAAATTTTTTTTTTTCAAAGACTTCCAAGTATAGCATTTTTCTGTACCATGAATAAAAAAAAAATTATATTACTTTTCAATTAAACATTTTATTCACTTCTATTAAATTCATTTTAATGTTATTTTATATTCACAAAATTTACACATAATTTTAATTTTAGACAATAAATGTGTTTATTTCAATATTATGGAAAGATTAAAACTTTTCTTTTATAGAATACCAATTTGTATATTTTTTGTTCTTTTTTATTAAGCAATTATTTTACTTACTACAATACTACACTTAGCAAACTTTAAATATTAAAAATTAAAACACAATCATTTCCCGATCAAATTGCGCGCACCCAACAACGAAAACCGTTTCATTTTGACTAATTCCTTTATTTTTCAACTAATTTTTTGTTCCTATATTTTCCGTTCTTTCTTAAATCGCTGCCGCTCTGAGCTGCTATTTCTTTTTCATTCCATTTTCATACCATATTCACTTTTGTATAATTGTATATTACAATTTACAAAACAAAATCTTCATTTGCTTTTAGTTTTTCTTCACAATTCTTATGTCAAAAATTCACAATTTATGGAGTCAGTCTAAATAACGTAGTATGTACATAGTATTTTGAAATGTTTAAAAATTGACAAACAGTTTGACACACTTGGAATGTATCTTTTATTAAAATATAAATTTTACATTTTGCGATTTTTTCTCGTTAATGTTATAAAAATTATATTATACAATTACTAATGAAAGGTTTTTTTCCTTCTTCACTCCTAGGAGGAGTATAGGGCTAGTGCATGATATCTATCATGCCCTAGTTTCTATAGTCATAGAGAGTTAGCTAGGTAGGTGACTAGCCTACCGTAGTTTTTTTATTTATATTAAATATTTCAGTTTATTAATATTTAATGTTTATTTTTCTTAGTCTTTAGCATCGAAAATTATGAATAATTGAAAATTACTTGTATAATATTTATTAGTATTGCATATAAGGTTATATAATATTGAATATAATTTTTATAGTGATCTGACCGGGGTTTGAACCCGAGACCCTTCGGTTAAAGGGCCTGTGCCATAACCACTGCACGAATGGTCAGAAATGAAAGGTTTATTACTTTGTATTTGACATTGTCAGAAATGAAAGGTTTAATACTTTGTATTTGACATTTCAATTACAACTATGTACACTAAAAATGGTAAGAAATTAGTTTATTTAGTAAATTAAGTATTTCTTAATTCAACATTACGATAAAATACTTGCATAAATGTTAAATTTAAGTTTTCAAGTAAAAAACATAATGCCATAAAACATTACATTAATTTTTTTAATAGATATTTATATATCAAATAAATTTTTTGAAAAAATGTACCCAAAAATTAAATAAAATTTATTTTTCTACAATGTACTTTGTTTAGTTTTACATTAATTTATATTTAGTTTATATGTACTCGATTCGGATTGAGAATAATTTAGCCCTTATTTTACAGCACCTTTTTAAGAAACTCAAAGAGAACTACTAAGGAAACTCCAAGATAACTGAATGGAAGACTTCCTATTTTATTAATATTCTCATACTTAAAGGTCATAATTGACCACCACCTCACTTTAGTAGATTTTCTGACTTAAGAATGGGAGCATAATATGCCAAAAGAACAACTTTTTGATGTACTGTAAAAACAGAACCATTCGCAGGGGTAATTCGCGGACATTCACTTGAATCTGGTAAATCCCGTTTTAGATACGTACATTCTATATGAATTCTGAAATTTCGCTTCTGAAATCGCTCTTGTTCTGTTTCCGATTTTAGTAGTGACTTTTACTAGATGCACAGTGTGGTAAGTAAAACTAAGTCTCGGGTGCTGCAATAAAAATTGGATCACACGGCTCATATGTTTCCTACTATAAAAATATAATTTTGCTACTAAAAAACTTTATACTTTTTTGATGGTATAAGAAGCAACGAATTAGAAATTTGAAAAGAAGACATCTCTGCTTCCATTTCATTTGTACTCTTCAAATATTAGTTCTCATATTGGAAAACAAGCGGTGAAGCCAAAAACTTCAGTTGGGTTTCTCTAACAACGCCAAAGGTTGTCAAATTGAATTTGACATTTTAGTGTTAAATTTATTTTTTATTAGAAAATTCAGACACATTGATATTTACATACGTATTTTAAAGGGGGAATACTCGTAAAAATATGAAATAAAACAGATTTCTTCCGAAGCCGATATAATAAAAGAAAAAACATACATTTTTGAATTTTTTGACACGTTAAAAATACAGAAACAGTATTATTTTACTGTGTTCATTTTACTTCATTTTTTACTGTTTTAATTTTTAATTACTGATGAATTATGATATTGTTCGTAGTTATTCTCTCTATATTCAAACAACGATATATATCTTTGGTGGATTCTAGTAAATTTTTTGTTATAAAATTTTTATGAATATATCTAGACAAGTTTCAAATGTAAATAGTTTCTCTTTTTGCTTTGGCGGTAACGCTGTGCTTGACGTTAGTTTTATATTGATGGAGTTTTCTAGGGGATACGCCACAGTTGATTGTGGTACACAATTGTCAATTCACTAAAATATTATCAAAATAAAAACATTGGGTTGGTGTTTTGTCCCAACAATTTTTACACAGAGAAATAGGAAGTCAAACAATTATTTTCAAAATAAAGGATAAACTGAGCTAATAACATTTTCCCAAAATAATTAAATTTTACAATAATATGATGTAGTGTCTGTAACTTAAAATTAGCCTTATAAACCTTAACTATTTTAATATTTAATAATTTAAATATTTATTGATAAATGGAAGCAGAAACTCGCCCACATAATTCTCAACGTGTTGGAAGCACTAAAAATCAGGTTAGAATTGTTATTTTTTTGTTAAATGATGTTAATTGATAATAAAATGATGTTTTTAGTACTGCTACCCTCTGCTGAAAAATGTGCATCTTTCAATACCACCACCAACCGTAAACGGCAAAACAAGTTTCACGTACGGGGATTTTACATATTATCATTATAAATGTGACTTATTTGATGACGTTGGTTGGGGTTGTGCATACAGAACTTTACAATCAGCTTGTTCATGGATACGAAATATCTTGATTAAAAAACGATCCATAGACGATAAAATAGATATGGATAACAACAAACAAGAATTAAAAGCTCAATCCGTTCCAGATGTCCCAACAATACCAGAAATTCAGAAAGTTTTAGTAAATATTTCAGATAAACCTGAATCATTTTTTGGCTCAAAAGAATGGATTGGCGCTTTAGAAGTTTTTTTTGTTATTGATACAACTTACGATGTGTGCTGTAAAATTCTTCATATACCAGAAAATGATGACATAAAAAAATACGCAAACATTATATGGAAATATTTTGAAGAATTTGGTGGTCTGATAATGATGGGTGGCGACGTTGATGCATCATCTAAAGGAATTGCCGGTTGTCATATTAGTGACAATCAAGCTTATTTTCTAGTCATTGATCCGCATTTCGTTGGAAAGCCTAAATCAATTCAGGAACTTATCGAAAAGGGATATGTAAGGTGGCAACATACATCTGAATTTATTGATAGTTCTTTTTATAACCTTTGTTTGCCTCAGATTTCAGCCAAGATATTTTAAAATTAATATCAAGTTTCATACGTTGAGTAATTGTAAATGCTCATTATCCTGTAATAATAGCACCATTTATGCATAACATAAATTACATTAAATATGTAAAATTTTATTATTCTTTTTAATTTATTTGCTGACCCGTTATATTTTATTATCACCAAACTTAAGTCTTGTAAAATGTATGTTATTATCTATGGGTAATTTACTTTAAAACATATTTTAACCCGACCAGTAATTGATGTTATAAATAAAATATAAAATATACATAAATTGTTTATTTTTAAAATTTGATACGGATTAAAGTTTTTTCTTTTTTTGTATAATAAACGCTAACCAGGTATTTCAACTTACCGAGAAAATTTATTGCAAAATTATAGCGTATTTAAACAGTTTTAATAGTCAACTATACTTATATAGCCAAATGATATTTTTAATTTATACGGTAAAATTAGTTACACTTTGATTGGAAAATATAGTTACACATGTAAAGTTAGTATACATACATGAAGCCCTGACATATGCATTTTTCTTGCTTATTTCGAACAAGGTAAATTTGACTTAAATTGCTAAATATCAAAATATATAATTTTGAGTTTTTTTAAGGCTTAACATTTGGGCAAAATACATACATATGTACATATTTTCTACATTTATTAGGAATATTTACCAAATACATAAATTTTGCTTTATAGTTTTTTATTTAAATTAAAGATAAATAGAGTAAGCATTAAAATTAAATCAATTTGTATACCTACATACATACATATACATATTACAAACTATAAATAAAAATGCTTTTTTAATATTATGTACATACATAATATATTTTAAATTTATTTACAAATATTTAAAAATCTTTAGAATCTCGATTGAAAACATAAATACTCCTGCAAAAAAAAAAACAATTAATTTTATTTTTAAATTGATTATGCACTAAAAAAGTTACCACAAGAAAACCAGCACCTAATAGTAAGGCTTTTGCCTTAACTGGCATATTGATATCTGTGAAGTAAATATTCATTGTATACTGGGATATGTCAGAACTCCATTTTCTTGTAATAGAACCAAATATAGTTTCACCATCGAATCCATAAATCTATTTATTTGAAAAAACATTTATATATACATATTTCAATTTATTTTAATCAAAATGAAAAACTTTGAGAAATATATTATATATTTATTTATTACATCAAAATGTCCTTCAGATGGCGTACAAAAACAACCACATGCAATTTTATTTGTTGGTACTCCTTTTATTTTATATGAAATTGATCCTTTTTCTCTTACTGTAAATTCATTTGAAAGAAATGTGGGTTCTTCTACAATATCACCTAAAAGATCTCCGGGCGGTGACCATACTTCTAGACATCGTTGTTGACATTTCACTAATCCCATAGCGCTTTTTCGTTGAAATGTTAATGCCGGTTGATGTGTTCGATCAAGAACAATCATTTGAAATGGTCTATTTGCCCCCCAAATCGTTCGATCGCGTTCAGTTGAACTTTCTGAAGCAGCAAACAAAGCTTCACCTAAAGGTGATCTTACTATGAAACGATTTTCAGAGTTAACTGATGATAGATCTTAGAAAAGTAAATCAAAAATAATTTAGTATCATATTATGTAAACAATAATAATGCATTTAATAATAACACAAAGTACTTTATGTAAGTACATATTAACTTACTATCATTTAGTTCAAATGTTTGTTCTATATGAACAGATGGCATTTCATCAAGAACCTCATAGCCTGAACGTGGTATAAATGTCCTACTACCCAAATTTAAACTTTCTGCTGAAGAAGTTGTTACCGGCAGTTGAATTCTAGAATTGCCTTTAAAAGTATAATTTTATTAAAATATTATTGTGACTAAGGTAATAAATATTTTTATAGAAACAATTAATGCAAATCAAAAGAAAAACTGTTTGAGTAAAAAAACAAAGTCATCAAAAGTTATTATTCAGTTGGGTTACACCGTTTAAGTTTTATTATCTTAAAGAATTATATTTCTAATAATTTTATATATTCAGCTTAATTTTATACTTCAAAATAAAGCCAATCGTGTGCATTAATGGCGAAAGTTATAAAAGAAACATTTCATTTGCAGTCCATTTTCTACATATATTAAGGAGCTTAAATATTTGATTAATTTTTATTTTTTCATACTTACCAGCAGGACTGGTTGTTATTACTGGATTAGTTCTTGATTCTGAAAGTACAATAAGAAAGCTTTAAAGAAAAATAAAGTATTTAAAACAGATCAAAATATAAAATTAATTTAATATTATAAATTATTCTGCAGATTCAAAATAAATCGACGCACAAAGCCTGTAAATTCGATTAAAAAATGAATTAAAAGAAAAAGTTTTTTTCTTGTTTTCAGTTTTTGCGTTTTTTTGGGAAAATCTATAAGCAACATACGTACATATTAACGTATATATTAACGATTTTTAAAGTTCAGCGAACAAAATTCGTTATACTGTATAACTTTTTGACGGCAATATTAATTAAAGGGGCAACTGAACTCGATTTCAATAAATTCAATTCATAGTCCCAATTATTTGTAAATAGGTCTTATGGTCTTATTCTTTGGTCTACATAAGTCTAACAGAGAAATAAATAGAGACACAGGTGATTTAAATGTAAGCGAACGTTCTTCATATACATACATACGAGTATGTACAACTAAATATTACTTGTTTTGATTTTTCATTATTTAAACATTCAATTTAATATATAATAATTCAAATTTTAATATCTAATGGATTCATTTTAATTTTTAAATAACACTATTTGAATTAAAATTTGAAATCTAATCACAATATTTTTGATTAATTTAATCTTAATTATATACAAAAGTTATGATAACAAGACCCTTTGTTAGAATAAGAGTACTTAAGAACTGAAATTGTATCAAACATACGCACATACATATGTACGTATTTTCTCAAAGTTTTTTGTCTGTATATGTACATAAATTTATACATTTCCTAATATGTATGTGCTTACATACATATATGTATTTGCAAATTATAAATTGTCTAATTTAAAATAAATTATGTCCCAGTAAAAAATAAAATTTTATCTCAAAAATACTTTTAATCTAAATTTTTATTAACCCAAATTCCAATATTTTAACTAACAAAATATTAATAATTTGTTTTTTTTTTAACTTTTATTATTTTATGATGAATGAAAAAAAGCTTTGTTTCCAAATAATGTTGGAACACGTATATCAAGTAATAATTTTAATAGTTTTATAACTTTTTAATTTTTGGAATTTGGTGTAAGATAAAGTTCAATTGAAAAATAGATTTGCGTAACCTTTTCGTTTTTTAAAATGGTGTAAGAAGGTTTACATATTTTTCGAATATTATTATTAGCTCTATTTAATAGGAAAATGGATTTATACTACCTTTAAAATTGCAGCTGTGCTTAAAGTTCCAATGAATTTTTAAAATTTTTTTTTTAAATGCTGCAAAAATTTTTTCAGTTAAAAAAAGATTATAACAGTTATGTTATGTATCAAAAAATGTCATATATTAAAAGGGTATTAAAAAACTGTTTAACTTTTCCTTAATTTTGTGATAATGCATTAAAAATCAAGATTGTAAAGATTTATTCAATTTCGTGGGATTTATATGTGATTTATTGTAAAACCCCTGCTTTTTAAAAAATCCTAAAATTATAATCAAATTTCTTAATTATAATATTATTACCAGATGCTGATATTGAAATATCCTGATGAGCCATTCTTATTGAATTTTGAAAATTAGGATTTGTTAAAGGATCGTCCTTTGCTGGTTGCATATTTTATTTTGAAATAAAATTTTTGTTTTAAAAATATAAATTCACTATTTTTTTTGTATTAATTTGTCACAAACAAACAGGTGGTATTACGAGTACCTGTTTGGTAATAATTTTCCAAAAAAAACAAAAGTTCAGTGTCGTTTGAAAGAATAGAGACTGATTAAGTAAATTTTAGCAACTTTATACTAAGCAACAGAACAGAATGAACAAAAAACTCTACTTTTTTTCTTGTTTTTTATCAATCAAAATAATTTTACCCTATCATTATTTACCAATAAACGTATAATAAATATTTACTGATATCAATAACTGATATTATGTATTAATAGTATACGTTCCCTACATATGTACGTATGTGTAATGTTAAATCACTTTTGAATGAAATAAGATAACAAACTTTATCTTAAAATTTATTTTTTATTTTGTTCAGAAGTATGTAAAGAAAGTATAGGGAAAATCAAGTTAATCAATAAATAAAAAAAAATGAGCTAAATAAGTAAAAAAATTAATTTTACTTTAATTTTTTTGAAAAATTAATTATTTACGTTCCCAAATAAAAATTTATAATTTGTATCAAGAGCTTAATTTTTCAAAAAAAAAAGTTTTAATATAGGTAGGTGTTAGACTGTACGAATTATTTGTTTCTTATGCTAGAAACAAATAATTTGTAAAAAAAAATTACAAAACTTTTCCATATTTTTTTATTTTTTCTTTAAATTGAATTTACCGATTCAAAAATTCGTAAATGATTTTTCAAATTCGCATTGACAAAGTATAAAATAAAATATGATTTGGTTTTGATAGATATTTGTGTTTTGGATTGGCACAAATATTTTAGATTCCTTTTGTAAATGGTTTGAAACCAGGGAGTCAATGTCAATTTTTAAAAATGTTAAGGAATTCCGACAACTTAATCTTAAGTCTTTATCTTAAGATATTATTAATTAAGGACGGATATTTTCGATAATTCAGTTATAACTTAGGTCTTAATATAAAAGCCGTTCGATTAATCCTGTAATACGGTAAAATCTGCAAAAAAAAAGCATGTTCGAAAATGACAGTTGTGCTCTAGAGTTCTAAAGAAATGTTATTTTTTCTTCAATTATTGTAAAAATGTTATAAATTAGAAGAAAAGCATAATAGAAAAATGTTATACATTGAAAAATTACTCAAGTATGTTACAAATCTGCAAAAGTATAATATTCAGTTTCTGAAGATTTTTAAATATTTATGAAAAGACTTTTAAAATTTAATTTAGAACTTTCAATGCATTATCAAAAAAACCCCAGCAAATTTTCACAAATTCAGGATAGTTTGTTCGTGAAACAAACATAATGTAATTCTATAATTTCTTGAAATCTACAAACAAAATATTTATGTCTTTAACTATTCTATAATAATATGCCTACTCATATGCTAATTTTGCAATTCTAAAATTTAGAATTGCTTATGAGCAAACTATATTCACAGTACAGTTTATGGAAATTTATTACAAGAAAATTAAAAGATGCACTTTTCATAAATTAAACATTTTTTTTATAACAGAAATAATAAGTATATATTTTCTTTCTTTTTTTTCATTTTAACTTGTTTATATATATATACATATATGTATATTTTTTTGTATTTTACATTATATAGTAATTTTACATAATTGGTTTATTTCATACTTAAAAATAAAATCTTAAATAGCTACACATTTTATTTGTTTTTTTTTTCCTTTTTTTCATAATTCATTTTCAAAAAAAAATGTTTATTAATTTTTTTTCAATACATATATTATATAGTTTAATTACATAATACATATATTTGCTATTCTTATATATAAAAAAAAATCCTATATCTTACTAACTTTATACACATTTTATTTTTACAAAGTTTGAAAAGAAACGTTATACAAAAATATAAAATAAGAAATTCTTTTTACATTAAATTTTTGTAACTTGCTTTTTGTTATTTATTTATGAATAAACTAAAAAATAAGACTAAATTGATACAGGTATTGAACTTAAAAATAAGGGTAATTTTTCTATATAAAAAAAATTTAATTATCTTAAACATTAAAGATTAAAATAATTTTAAAACAGGAAAATTAAAATAACATGCATAGAGATTTTTACACAAAAATCAAATTAATTGTTTTGTTTAAAAATTTAAATGTAATAAATAAAAATACAAAGGACAATAATAAAAAATAATGCAGAAAAATAGATTTTTTAATAAATATACTTCACAAAATAAGAGATTAAAAAAAATTTAAATTCAAAATATCAACGATTTACTTGTTTTATGATACGTGTAGTGTTTTCCTTGTTTTTGTTTTAATCTTTCATCATCAATTTCATAAGTAATCATAATCGTTTTTTAAATCAAACAACAACAAAAAAATTTACAAATAATAATTTATTGTTTTGAAAAAAGAAAAAAATTCGCAAGAACAATAAATATTGAATCCCGTAATGAACTAAATATAATGATTTCTTAATTTGATTGCTTGAACCATAAACTGATAAAATATTTAAAATTTTTGAATTGGATTTCAATATCATTATTTAAGTAACACATTATGGAACTCTATTCTATATCAATCGAAATATTTTCATTTTTCTTGCTAAAAATAAAACTATTAAATTTAAAATGTTAAGATTAAACAAATAAATAACGAATTTAAATATATGAACGATAAAAAAAGATGTACAATCATAAAATTTAACAAACAAAACAGTTTTCAAAACAAAGCTGTTCATATAATTATAAAAATTATAAATATTGGAAGATCTGCGAATTAATAGAATGACATAAAACAAAATAAACATATAATTAAATAAATATTAAAACCATTTTTAAAAATATTTGCAATAAAATATTTAATAGAATTCTTATTAAGTTCATTTATCTATTTAATTTTTGTTGAACAAGAAATAAAAGAGAAAAATAAATTTTCTAATAATCATGAACTGATGATCTTTTTTCTTTTTTTGTAATTCAAAGCCTCCAAAAAACATAAATCATTAAAAATTTAAAAATTAAAAGTTAGTTAATCAATTAATAATAATTCTTTTATTTTCGATAATAATAAAATAAATCCTTTTTAAAGTAAATAAAAATAACTATTTTAATTGAATTCCAACATTAGCTTTAAAAAATTAATATTTTATTTCTTATATTTTAATTTTAAATTTTTTTTCTTTAATAAATTGATTTAATATAAACCTATAATCATTTTGTAAACGTCAATGAATTAAAATTTTTATCAAAGTACATATTATTCTCCTTCTTAATTTATAAAACTTGAAAAATCTTTTCAAAATGATGATAAGTATGTTACATAAAAACTTTAATAAAATCGTGTACATGCATACATAATAGACAATATACAATTTTTATATACGCATATGTATGTTTCGGTCTGTATGTAGGGTAAATATGTAAATATGTATATAATGAAGGAATTTTTTTATTTTTTTTTTTATTTCTAAACTTTGTTACAAAATTTTGAAAAATTATTTGCTTTTTACATACATATATATAACATATGTTTTTATTGTGTTATATAATCTATGTTATATATAACACGTTTGATAAATTATTCAAATTTTGATAAATTTTAATAATTTTCTGTTTAAATATTTTTATAAATTTGTAATTTTGTTTCATAAAGAAATTTGTGTTTTTTTACAAAAAAATTGATTAAAAAAAGTTATTCTAAAAAGCCTATTTAGTTAAATTCTTCTAAACAGTAAAAGAATTGTCCGAAAATTGGAAAATCATGCAATGTCAAAATCGGTTCTAAAGTCGAAGATAACACACTATTTAATATTGCCAATGAACTATCCATTTAATATTACAGTCTGCTAATGAAGCAGAAGTAAACTATAATTCGCTTGGAGATGGAGGATGATCATTGGCTAGTTAAATTCATAGAATGAGCAAAAAAAATGCTCATCTAATGACAGTTATTTAAAAAAAATAATTGAGAATCTAAAACAGTTTTAAGAAAGAGTGAATTCTTAACTCGAAGATATTCATCTGACTATTTTTCCAATTTCATTTAATATGCATTAAGATTTGCACGTTAGTTAGTAGAATGTTCCAAGAGTGATGAAGAAGAGTACGAAAAATGAAGGAGTATGAAGATGAGTCAAATTTTATTGTGGGAGAAGGGTTAAGACGTTGGGACGGAATTGAACGATACAACTTTACGAAGGGAGATTAATGAAGTATACACAAAATATATTTGACTTCTTCAGTAATTCTTAAAGGAAACTGACCAGTACCACAGAAGGATCAGTTGAAGAATATGTTCCAAAAAAAAATGTTAAATAATTTCGTGAATATAATTTTTGCCTAAATTTTGTGCTAAATTTGAATATAATTCCGAATTCAGTTGAAACAAAATAACTCTAAAATACAAATATGATTATTTTACAAAATAATTGTTAATATTTGGATAAAAAAATATATGTGTATATAATATAGCAATGTACATAATACAATTATCCAATAAAACTTTATCTTTTGACTAGCTGACATTCTTGATTTCGAAGTTTTCTAAACAAAATAAAAAATAGCAGACTTATAAAAGCATTTAATAATTAAAATTACTGACTTCATTCGTTAACATCCATTGTATATATATATACATAAGTATATATTTCAAATGTAATAAATATTTCTAAATGTGATATTCGTATCACATACTTATATTCCCTCAGTTAATTTTTTTTTAAAATTATATTATTTTTATTTTTACATAAAAATAAAAATTTGGCACTATTTTGTTTCGCTATTAGTACGGATGCGTTTGTTTGAATTAGATGTTACACTACTGTTATAATTGTTAACTACTTTATTAATTGATATTTTTGTATCAACTGATCCTTGCAACTGATTTTTAGAACCACTATTATCATTGCTATTACTAGTTGACGTTGACGTTACTGCAATAATGTGAGCTGGATTTGGAGTATTTGTCATTGAATTCGCTAAATTTTCTGAAGAAGATGAATTTGGTGCATCAATTTTACGTTTTATTCCGCCGTCACCTATTGAAGTATTATCTAAAATATGACCTGGATCATTATTTTTAGTTTCACAAGAAGCAGAATCTAGTTGTTTCATATTATTTACTTTTTCGTTACCAGAACCAGTTGTATTATTTTCAATATCAACATTCAAATCATTACTACATTCATTATTACTTTGCTCTGAAAGTGAACTAGTTCCTGCATCCTTATTATTTGATTCCATACCCGAAGGATTTGTATAACTACTTAATTTCGTTGGATCTTCATCTTTAAGTTTTTGCGCTATTATTTTTAAGCTAGCTAAAGAATTATCACAATCAGTTGTGTCGATTTCAGTTAAGCTTATCCCTTTGCGTTCAATTTCTGCATACGTGCCAAAAGGAAGTTTTTGCAAACATTCAAGTTTTTGAACATGTGTTTTCGATCGTAAATGTTTTGCTAAATGTCCAGGTATTCTAAACGCAACTTTACAATCGGAGCATTCATATGGTCGAGGATTTGATGTTGTTGGTACACCAAACGCTGATGTCATCATTACTTTATTTTTATGACCTTCCGACCGTTCATGCTTTTGCAAATGACCCTGGCTTCGAAATCCCAAAGCACATGGTTCACATTTAAATTTTCTTTCCATATAATGAATGTTCATATGTAGAGCAAGTTGATGTTGTTTCTGAAACGTTTTAGAGCATATATTACAAACAGGTCGTCCTTCATCTGTTATAGGACCACTTCTCGGGAACATTGGTTGAATTTCGTGTGAATTTTGACTACTTGAACTCGCTGGGGTGCTATTATTCCCACTGGTAATAGTTTGAGATGGAGCTTGCGCTGAAGAAGGAACATTTTTAAAACCATCTTCACCTACTACAACAGTTCTTGCGAGAATACCTGTAAAATCGGTTGGCAAAGATGTTGTTGAAGAATTGGGGACTGTAGGCGTTCCTAAATCTGAAACTGACGCACCTTCTTGGTCTATATTCTCATCTTCACTTTCTTCAACCAAATTAGATGAAGCAGTTGATGGTTTTTGTTGCTGATTTGATTTTAAGGTCATTTTCAAATATTCGGAAGCAACATCTTGTGCGTTAGACGAACTTTGAGATTTCGAAGAGTTACCTTTCATTGTGTTTGATATACTCGAAACTGAGGCATGCTGAGTGCCTGCAGTTATTTTTTGCAAGGTTTGAATTTTCTCTGAATTATCTCTAAGCAGAGTTTCACGGCTTGTTGAAATTGTCGGGCCATCATTTTGTTCAATTTTACTCAAATTGGTTTCCATCTTTTTATCCCTGTTAGAAGTTGAACATTCTTGTAATTGGGAAGTATTCCCAGATTTTTGTATTTGACTAATTTTTTGTTTAATTGATATATTAGTAGAATTAGTCTCATGGATATGATTTTGCAAGAACATATTGTCAGTGAAAGATTTATTCATTTGACATTGTTTAATTTTTGTATGCTTTAAAGCTTGTTCGGTCAAATATGGTCGTAAAAGAGAATCATCAAGCTTCTGTGTATGATGAAAAAATTCTATTTCTGTGGAACTCACTTCATCACGCACCCTATCTGTGAGTGAAACAAGTGTTTTTAAGATACCAGATTCGTTAGTGTTAACATTACCAATAATCTCCATTGTTCTTGTAGAACAAACTGGAGAATTTGATATGGATAAAGTGTCATTTGTTGGAGTTTTTCGCGATTTTGCCTCTTCACTTAAAGCAGTTACTTTGATTTTTTCTATAGAAGATTTATTTGTTAAATCTAATACAACTCCAGGATCATCGAACTTTTCAGTTTTAGGTATTGAAGGATTCGAATAATATTTTTCCTGCTTTTGATAATCGAACGGTGGTTTTGGTGAAGTAAAAGATGTTATGACTGCCTTTTGTTTTTGAAAACTCAAGTTGGTATTTTTTGACTGTTCCAGATTAGAATCTTGATTTAACGGATAATTTTCGTTCGAATATCGCAAATGTGGTGAAACACTATTACTGGGTGGTGTCATCGATAACGATAGTAAACATTTGGCTGCCTCATGTTCTGGCAGGCGAGATTTCGATTCATCTGTATCTAAAAACAAAAAATCTTTTAAATATTAATATGACAGCCAATCAAGAATGCATACCACTACTTTCTGTTTCTCTATCATCCCCATCAGTTTCTTCTCCATCGGAATCAGATTCTCCTGGAATAGTTGATGTTCTTCCACTATTACTTCCTCCTCCATTTCCATTGCTAGATGTAATTGATTGCTGATCATTGTCGGTATTTTCGCGATGATCCACAAATTCACCATTTAAACCTTCACCAGGATCAACGCCTAGTTCCAGGCATTTTTTATAATGAGTTTTTGATTGCATGTGCTTTGTGAGATTTCCTTTTGTTTTGAAACTGAAATAAAATATTTTTTTGTATTTAACACTGCTTCAACTATTCATTTGACATAATATAAAATTTACCTGAAATTGCAATGTGGACAAGTATATGGTCTAACATCACTATGAGTTCGTATGTGTTTCTTAAGCATTGATGGCTTTTTACAACGAATACCGCATTCTAGGCAGACATATCTACCTCGGCCTCGCCCTCTGATATATGTATAATCTTCGTTACTCTCATAACCCCCCACTAAAGTTGTTTTTTGATTAGTATCAATTTTGTTATTAGATGAAGCTGGCACAACTATTTCTGAGTTTGGAGTCACTGTTAACGTGATATTTGATTGTGATACATTTGTATTAGTAGCTGCAATTTGTGATTGAGTTGAATTAGTTTGCTCTTGTATTGGTGAAATTAACGGTACTGCAATTGACTTTATCTGATGGTGATAATATTGTCCCGTATTATTTTCAAAAGGAGTCATTACTGTATGTTGTGAATGTACTGATGTATATGGCAACTTGATGTTTGCTGTTGTACATAATGAATTGCGTTGGCGTGAGTCATACAAATCCAAAGCAAGTTTTGGTTTAAACCCAAGAGGATGCAAATTTTTATCAGTATGAACCTGCCACACGCTATACATTGACAGTTTATGTAAATTTGCTACATAGGAAGGTTGCGGACAATTTACTGTACAATAAAACATTTTGGTACTACACTTAAGTCCTAAATAAGTATATGCATGTCCGTTTAAAAACATTTGCCCACAAGTTTTAGATGGTCTTGGAGTTTCAGGTGAAATTAATGGCATCGTGTTGGCAGTTGGAGTGATTCCGTGATGTCTTTTAGGTGTGAAAGTTCCTGGCTTAAGAGGCAGACTTGTAGGTCGCAGAAATTTACTTTTTTTTGACTTTTCATCTTGAGATGCGGAAACTACTCCCGAATCAGTTACAGGATTTTCACTAGCAACTGTTGTACACATTGGTTCATTCTGTTCAGCTTTTGATTCCGCTTTAACAGAATTTTCACTAATTTCGTGTTGAATCGATCGCATTTCTCTCTCAGGTGATTTAAGCGGTTGCAGAGATGAATGGCTTGATTTTTCGATTTTTTTAGGACTTATATTGTCAGCAATACGTGTAAAATTAAAGGATTTTTTATTTGATGGTGCTTCTAAATTATGAAATCCACTGTTCATTTTAGTACTACGTTGTGCCGATACGTTATGTTGTGGTACTGGAACAGTTAATTTTCCAAGATCAGAATTATTTGAAAAATTTGTTGGGGCCATAGATTGTAGTGATTTATGTTGGATATTGTCAATGTTTTCAATTCGAATTAAGGGTTTCTGACAAACTTGTGAAAGTGCTAATTTTGATGGATCCTGGTTAATATTATGAAAAGAATCTAAATTTCTAGGCGAACACGCAAACGCTGTATTATCACTAAGGTTATTGCCTAGAAGAGTTCCTTGTACTTGCGGACTGCCAGATTTTTTTCTTTGAATGACGTTTGGCGGGCTTATTACATTTCGATAATCTAAAATCTTTGATTGCTGTGGTATTGGCGGTTGTGGCATAGGCAGTGACAAAGTATTCGGTCCAGGTATTCCGGGTACATATGGAATTACTTTTTCTCCTGACGGCAAAACGGGTGATTGTATCACGGGCAGTGGCGGCAATGTTAAAGGATTAAAAGCTGTAATGGAATTAATCGGCGGGAACTGAAAATGTTGAATTAACGGTAGACTGGAGCTCAATACATTTGGTGTTTGTAGACTAACAGCGCTTAAAGGAGCTGGCAAATTCATCATCATTTTTGCATGAGATTGGGGTAAGGCTTGCGAATTTTGTGTAGCTGATATTGGTCTATGAACACTCGGACCCTCGTTGATGTCCTTTTGTTTCGGTGAAACTTCCGTAAAACTTCCTCCAGACAAAAGAGGTGTTCGAATTATTTTAGGAGAAGCTTCACTTTCAATTACGGGAACTATGCATCCACCAGACGACACAAAACGTTGCCGCAATTCAAAATCCTCAGGTTTAGATCCTGCGTCTAATATTTGGATATCCCCTCCTGACATCAAATATTGAGCTTTTGGATGACGAATTTGTTGAGAATCGAAAAGCGCTGTACTTGTATCGGTGTTATAGTACTTAGAATTTTCAGGATTTGATGTAAACTCTTGATCAAACTTAAATTTCTTTGCATATTGATACGCACACCTAGAAGCTGCGGATTCCTCATGCACTTTGGTAATAACAACATCTTCCTGTTTTTTTTCTGATTTTTCAGGGTTATAACTTTCAACTAAGGGCGTTTTACCCAATAACGGCCCTGGAGATGGCAATGGCGCGTCAATTAATTTTTGCATCGACATATTATGTAAGTTTACAGGTTCCAAAATATTTTCAGTTGTTTTCATATCATTAAATTTAGATGAAGAAGAAACTACATTAGTTTTTGTAGCACTACTATTTGAATATCCGGTTGCAGTTGATGTCAAATCTTTTCCGGTTGCGAGATTCAATTGCGTTAATACAAGGTTGCTAGGCTTCGTCTTTAGCTGTGACCAACACAGTTTCACCAAAGATTTAGGATTTTTGGATAATTGAATCAGAGACGATTTCGCTAATTTTGCTAAAGAATTTGGATTATTGAATTCTGGTAAATTTACATTTATTGAATTTGAGCGGTAATATTTTTGCGCATTACTAACGGGGCTCATTGGTGCACTTGATGGCCCACCTTCACAATATTGACTGGTATGCAATTTTAATTCTTCTGCGGTTTGAAAATTTAATTTACATAATGGACAAGTGTAAACCGCATCTTCACCTTCACCATTTGGTATTGCTAATCCTCTCGAATTCAATAACAAATTTTTTATAATTGAGCGTTCTGGATTTTTTGGATGAGTTGGCGGTGTCTTTGTAGTATTTATTACATTATGAGTAGGGGAAGGAGACGATAAATGCATGCTTTGCTGAACATTTTCATCCACACTTATCAATGACCTTTTACGTAAAGGTTGCTGTAAAACATTTAACGATTGTGAATCATGAGTGGATTCTTGTCTAGTTTCTAGGAGCAAAGGTTTGGACAAATTCAGTGGTTGTGGTAATGCCTCAGATACTACAGAAGACTGGTGCAAATTAACTGGTGATTTTGTTTCTAATGCACTTTTTACAATCATATTCTGTTGCGGTAGTTGTAATATAGTTTGTTGATGTTGCGAATGCGTTGGTATTTGAATATTCATTACCTTGGGTGAAGAAGTGGGTAATGTTAGCGGGATTGGTTGATAGTTATTTGAGTTGCGATTTGATATTTCTTGTTGAAATTGCAGTTGTTGCTGTTTTTGCAATTGTTGCTGCTGTTGCAATTGTTGTTGTTGCATCTGTAATTGTTGCTGCTGTTGCAATTGTTGTTGTTGCAGCTGCAACTGCTGCTGCTTCTGTTGTTGTTTAGTTGCAATAGCAAATGCTAATTTTGCATTACAACTATTCGGAGTAGCAGGAGTATTCGGCGTATCTAAGGAAGACGAAGATGACGATGACGCTGAATGAATAGAAGATGTCATTGAAGATCCTGACGTAGGAATTATTAAATTAGAAAGACTTTTCTGTTTATTCAATTGCTTAGGATATTTTTTTTGAAAAATTTCAGCTTTATTGCCAACTATAGCTTGATTTTGTGATATTAACTTTGTGATATGCTCTTGCACTGCCTCCAAATCCTAAAAAGAAATTGAGAGCAAAATATTTTTGAAATTCTAATTAGTCGAGCTTCAAACTAGTAAACTATTGAATGATGATCGATATTAAATTGATGAATTTTTTTTATGAAATCCTCTTTCTTTACTTGTTTGTGTTTTTTTTAAATCTAAACATATAGGTATGTATGGATATACATATGCATTTATACACAGAACTTGCGCATGTAGATGGGTTAATATTTAATCGACATTAAACTTTTGAAAATAATGTTTTGACTATTGTTTTTTCTTCCTTTTTTATCCTTGAAAACAATAACTTGTCAAAAAAAAAGGAAAACATTTCCTTTTGCACAATAGTATATGTATATATGTATGTACTCATAATAAGAAACTTATGTACATATTATAATTTAATAAAAAAGCTGCTTATGAAGAATAAGAGAAAGGAAATGCGTATGTACTTATAAAATATACATATTTACTAACTACGATTTATTCTTAGTTATGAATTTATATTATACAAAAAAAAATAAATAAAATAAAACTCACCAATTGATGTCCGCCGCCGATGTTAGTTGCAAAGTTATTTTTATTACTTTCACTGGAGCCAGAAATGCTGCCATTCTTTCCATGGTTTTTATTACCACCATTTTGGCCTGTTGCATCAAGTATTCGAAAATTGTTTGTTGATGATAATGATGATGGGGTAATACTATCAGTATTTGAAACAGACGATGAAGACGATTTTAATATTGTTCCTGGTGTTACTACTTGTTGAAATGAAGACAAAGTCGATGACGGCGACGTTATCGATGATGATGATGATGTTAATTTTTGCTGCACAGACATAGTTGGCGCCGTAGTTGATAATGACATATTTTTTTGATGATGATGATGATGTTGATAATGCTGATGAAGATTATGTTCTGTTTTTGTTAATGATTCATTACCAACAGTTATGGCTCCTGTCTGACTACGATGAGTATTTTGACTTAAATTTGAATTTGATTTTACCATATTATTACCAACACCACATGTGGAATTTCCAGTATATAATAAAGAGTTTTGGACTTGGGAATTCGAATGATATGATAAATGTTGCTGCTGTTGTTGCTGTTGCTGTTCTAATTTAAAGTTATTATGGGATACTGATGGTGGTGATGTTGAATTTTGAATTAAGAGTTGGGAGTAGTAACTATTTTCTTCGGATTGTTGTGAATTGTTTTGACTATCATAGAGATTCATTGTTGGTCCAAGAGACGCAGGTTTTTGTTGACTAATTTGATGTTTCGGTTTTTGATTCAGAAGCTCAACATCAGGTGAAATATGAGATGGTAAATTTTGATGATATTGCTGAATTAACTGATGAGGACGGAATAAATTTTTTTGAAGTTGCTGCTGTTGTTGTTGTTGATGTTCTCTCAATTGTTCTTTTGTGTAAAGTGCAGCTTTATGAAACTTTGGCTTATAAGGTTTGTCGGTAATTTTTTCATTTAAGTTATTTGACTGGTTCAATAACTTTGAAAGTGATATTGATGTTCCGTGTGTAGAAGTGGATGATTGATTTGTATTAAATGCTGAGTTTGATGAGTTTTGTGTTAAACATGATTGCACTAAATTAACTGCTGTTGCTGGGGAAGATGTTCGTTCATCTAACGGCGAAATTGTACCACTTATCTAAAATTAAATTATTGTTGGACTTTTAAAATTTATCGATAATTATTTCAATTATTTTATTTCTCTTACCACATCGGAACTACTATTACTCAAATCTTGATCTTGTTCCTGATCAGAACCTACAGAACCATCATCTTCATTTGGCTGTGGCTCAACTCCTTTGGTTCTTTGCGCATGGGATCTTGATCTGAATTCGAAAGTTTAGTTTTTAATAAGATTGGAAATTTATTTCAATAAGTAATGTACACAAGTTGTTTCAATAGAAACGAAGAACTCACCTACAATGCTTATAGTAATTACTTTTAGTTTTAAATGCAAAACCGCATAAATCACATGGATATGGTCGTTCATTGGTATGTGCACGGATATGTTTTTGTAAAACTGAAGGTTTTGTACAATTTAAATTACAATAAGGACAAACATGACGACCCGCCGATGGTAAATTTGTTGCTAATCCGGCTGAACTATTACTGTTATTATTGTTGTTTAAATGTAACTGCTGTTGTGGAATTTGTTGCTTTTGTAATTGTTGATATTGTAAATATTGTACCTGATCAATATTATTTTCTTTATTCGGTGCTCGAGATAAATTTTCTTGATTAGATATAACTATTGATTGATTGTATTGTTGTTGCTGTTCCTGATGTTGGTGAAATAAGAATTCTGGCCGTTGTTGCTGATACAATATTAACATATTGTTCAATTCGGCTTCCTTTTCTTGTGAGAGATTGGCCGATGTTATATGATTTTTTTTGTTATTGTTTATATTTAAATTATTATAATTTGCTGTATTATGGTTATATAAGTTATCCTCACCATTTAAATGTAACTTTGATTGCTGCAATAAAGGTTTTGATTGCGGTAATAAATTTGCCATTGAGGTGGGTGATGTTCTTGCATTAACTTGTATTAGTGGTTGGTGTTGCGATATTGTTGAATCTCTGCATAACACTAAATTATTTTTATCTTTTTCATTTTGTAATAAATTTGCTTCATCTGATATTTCTTCTTTAATATTAATTTGCCGATATAATGTACATTTATATGTATCATCAAATTCAATTGAATTGTTAAAATTATTATTATTTTTACTATTAATATCACCATTCATATAGACATATTTTAAATTTTTATTATTATTACTATAAACTTGATCTCGACTATTCCTAATATCACTATTATGGCTTTGAGTTTCATCCGTAATTAACTCATTTGATTTTTGTTGGGAAACTTGATTTTTAATAAAAGTACCATCAATTTTACTATTATTGTTACCAAAATTGGAGTCAATTGATACACGATGTTTTTCAATTGAAATATCATCATTTTCAATTTTTGAAAATGGATTTTTATACGTTAATTCAATTGATGATGAGGGAGAAGGCGACGGTGATGATAAAGATTTTGGTACTTCAGATGGTGACATTCTTGATAGATTACTATTATTGTTATTATTAATCATGTTGTTGATGCTACTGTTATTATTATTATTATTACCATTTTTATAATATTGTGTATTTTGTTTTTGTTCTACCGAAATTTCTCGATCATCATTTGTATTTTTATCATTATTTTTATTATTATTTCTATTATTATTATTATTATTATTATTAATATTAATATTATTATTATTATTATTATTATTATTATTTGTATTACTATTATTCAACTCATTAGTTTCAACAACATTGGCACTAGCTATTCTTTTGAATTTTTTATGCAGGTACTTTAATCCATTCGATGTTGACGTTATCGTTTCTGATAATTTATTATTACTATTATTATTTTTATTTGTATTATCATTATTGTTACAATTATTATTGTTATAATTAATATTATTATTGTTGTTATTATTATTACTATTATTGTTACTACTGTTATCTGATAGACGTTCATCACAAATGTTATTAGTCATATTATTACTATTAATATTACGGTGGGTCGTCGAACTAAATATGGTATTTGAATCTTCCTGTTGCATTTTCTGTCGATCTTCTTGTTTATATTCCAGTTTAAAATTTTCATTCCTATTACAATTAGCGTCAGTTAAATTTTGATTATGTGTAATTGAATTAAGATTATAGTTATTAGTTGGATTATGATTATCAATATGATTAAGTTTCTTATTTAATATAAATTTTGTTGTAGCTACTGATGTGTTATTATTTTGTGAGTCATCCATTGCAGTACTATTGGAAATATTTGAAATATTATCACGCTTATTAGAATTATTATTTTTGCTATTATTATTATTATAACTATTGATTGATTGTAAATTTTTAAGTGCTGATATATTTGAAGTTATTTTAGTATCATTTTTTGTTGATAAGCTCTTATCATCTGAATCATCTGTAAATAAAAAAAAACGTTACTTATAAAGAATAACTTTTTTTTTGGATTGTTATGATAAGATTTTAGGAAATACCCATTCATATCAAAAATTGTATTAAAAATTTAATTCTTGATATAGGGTGATTTTGAATTATTATTTATCTATAGTTAAAAATTTTTTTAAATGTCTATAAAAACAAAATAAGTTAATAAGTTTGTAAGTATATAAAATTTCTTTAAGTTGATAAATTAATATAATGTGCAATTAAGAACAAGTTATATTCTAAGCACACCTACGAGTAATTCTAAGTGGGTGCCTTCCTACATCAATTTATATCACATGAATAAACGTTATGTAGTTACGAATAAAAATGACTAAATTTAATTTTTTTTCCTAATATCAAATCTAAATTTTTTTGCATATCCAATTCAAAGCTTCAAATTAAAATGTAGGTAGGTAGGTATTTAACTACCTATATATTTACAATTCTAGTTCACAATATGTACACCTATTAAAAAATAATTAAAGTATTAATTTAATTATATTTACTTAGCTGTAGGATACTAGATAAATATATATATTTTAAATTTATACAAAATTAAATTTGTAAGTGAAAGCTTCCATTTCTAATTTTTGAAAAAATTAAACAAAATGTCTTTGGAAAAATTCTGCTTATTAGTTCGAAACCTAATTAATGAGATAAAAACATAATTGAATGAACGTGTTATTCCATAAATATTATTTTGTGAAAAATTTATTAAAATCACATGTAGGTACGTGTAGGTAAAAAAAACCATTTAGAAAACTGAAAATTCTTAATTTAATTGTAGCCTATCAAAACAATATTTATTATTTTAATTATTAAATTTATGTTGTTTATTCACTAATGCTTATTCAGATGAAAAGCTTGTATTATTGCTAATGTGTGAGCTAGATAATGTATATATGTATGTATGTATATATATATGTACATATGTAGGTATATAGGCATTTGACACAATGTAGTGAATACATTTTAAAACCACATAAAAATTTTACTCACTTAGTTGATTCAAAATGGATCACTTCATAAAAATATGTAATTTAAATTTTACTTATATTTTTTTTATTAATCAATACAACAAACTGTAAATAAGTAAAATTTTTATATTATTTAAACTTTAGGAACAAAAAGTTAGCACAAATTCAAAACAAATAGTTAAAACGAAAATAACAAAATAAATAAAACCATACAAATGCACAATGTTCACACATTTAAACAAAAATATGTACGAGTATGTAAATATGTTCTTATTAAATAAAATAGGTAACCTCTTTCCATTTATACATATATTCTATTAACTTTAAAAGATTTACATACTTATATTACTTATTTTTGATATACCTATAATATACAATACATACTTTCAAATCAGTGATTACAAAAGTATTTATTTTATATTAATCCAAACAGGAAGCGTGATGACAAACCGACAAAGTAGGTAATTGTAATTTTTAGTAAACTATAATCGGCTAACAAAAATTAAGGGAATATTTAAAAATAATATGTGTGTGTATATTTATAGTAGTGTTTAAATACGATAAGTACATAAAAATGTATATGCATATGTATGTATGTAAAATCCAAATACCGAAGAAATAATATGACATAAAAATTACAAGGAAAAGAACAAAAAAAAAAAAAAAACTAATAAAATCAGCACGCTTACACCTTAATAAAGAAAAAAGTCAACTAATTTATCATTAGCACCCAACAAGTATTTTAAGTTACGTTCATCATATTTATGACACACACATAAGAAAATAAAACACAAGAAGGAAAAAGTAATGAAATAAAATTTATGCATATGTATGTATGTACTATATTTTTCAGATGTATATCTATATCTATTCATACACGTACACAGGGTTGCCAAACCTGGTGTAATTACCCGAAAATAGGGTATTTTGATGCTAACGGGTAAAACTCCGGAAAAATTTTTTTTTTGGGTATCCAAAAATTGTAAATGTTAGGGTAATAAGATAAAATCTGAAGCTCTCAATTTTCAAGATTCAATATTTCATTTCAAAAAAGTATTTGTTGCATTTTCTTAGGATAATATTCATGTCATTAAAACTAATTTGTCATGTAAATTACTCCTATTTTAACCTCTATGTAAATGGCGGAGTTCTTTGAAAATTTCAACTTCAAAAGGCTCTTTATCAAAATTTTAATTTCTTCAAAAGGTTCAAAAACATTATTATGTATATAAATATATTTTTAAAATATAAACTGGAAATGAATTCTTAAGTTCTGTAAAATTTAATTCTTATTATATGTATTATCCTACACTTTGAGAGTAAACAAAAAGAAAAATTTACACATAAGAAATATGTATGTGCTTTATATTCATTTTTTATTTATTTTTCTATTTGGCAACTCTGCTCGTTTAATAAATATGTAAACACATGCATTGCAGTGTATCCGAATGTAACGACATTTATATTGCCAACCGTCCGGGAATAAAAACAAAATAATTCCGTAAAATATTGTATTAAATTTTAAAAATAAAATTCAAATTTTAAATTCATAACATTTCACAATTTCTTATTATCAGTACAATGTTTGACAAAAAGAAGACTTCTAAGTCGATTGTAAGTTTTTACGGGCTCATATATAAATTTTTCACAACGTTATTTTCTCTATTTTCAAATTCAAGAATTCCAAAAAAAAATCAGTAACTTCATAACTCTGCATTAAACTCTCAATGTACTTACAAAAAATATGTACATACTTTTAAAGATCATTGAAATATCCTTCTTTGAATTAAACCAAATTGTATTAATCATTATGTCAAATTTCAAACAATTATAAAGTATTGAATTACGTCATTTATTTTTGGTTTGGATTTATTGATTTAAATTGGGCACTTCATTCCTGTTTTTAACTTTAATATTCAAATATGAATCGAACATGGTATAAATATTTATTATATTCGTTGCATGAAGATATGATTTATTAAAACTTTTAAGTTCTCTGGAATTTACACATAATTTAGATATGTATCACTTAAAACTACGTCAAAGTACATAATTTAGGTACGAACGAAAATATATTTCAGACTTGATGACTATTTTTACGTAAAAAACAATTGTAATAACCTCAATATTTTTACTCTTTCGTACATTTGCATGTAATAGAACTTTAATACACAAAGAGTTCAATAAAATTGTTTCCCGTTAAACAAATTTACAATCCTTTGCAGTTTGCAAATCAAATACTTTGCAGTCGTAATAATGATTCGTTTGCAAGAAATTCATTTTCACCAATTTTATTACATATTTACAAACATTAACTCCACAAGTTAAATTTTAATTATTTATTTGTTATACTTACTTGTATACATTTCTTCTCAGAGAAGAAAATCAGGTTTGATAAAGTGCGTATGTAGCGCACGAAATATATTAGCAAAAATAAAAAAGTATTTTAATTCGAATAAAAGGGAGTTTTCTTTTCATACGAATAAAAAAAAAAATAATTTTCTTTTGCTTTGCATCTTCAATAGATGGTAATCCTACTGAGTAATATTTATACGCATACGTATACATGTATGTATGTAAATCAAATTATGAAAAATACTAACTAAATTTTTTTCTTTATTATGAAATGAAATCATACATAGGCACATACATACTTATAGTTTAATATGAGTTCAATAAAATACGAGTTTTCTGCGTTCTTCACTTCACATTTTTATTTGTCGTGTTTTTTTGTTTTGCGTTTATAAATTTTATGTTTTTTTTTTTCGTTATTATTATTATCATTATTATATGTGCTTATTATTTATTCGTATGAAGTCATTAAAAAGCTATTTTTACTAAATTGTGTGATATTGTTAAAATGGAATATACCTACCTCAAATTGAATTGAAGAAAGAAATAAAAGAAATAATAAAAACAAGGAGTCGATCAAACCAATGCTTTCTAAACTAGCACATATTACTCCAAAAACTTCAATCTAGAAACTAAATGGTGTTCTATAACTTGTATTTGCATATGATGCCTTGAGCGATCTAAATAATGAAGATGTTTCATTAAGATATTTTCCTTTTCGACACATATTTTTGCATAAACTTAGGAGAAATCTTAATTGCAAGAAATAAAAGAAAAATTACTTCAATAATATTATTCAAAAATCAATTTAAAATACCGGTTCGATTGAATTCCACAGGATAAATAAGTCTTCGTCAATTTGCGGAGGCATAATTGCCTTTGGTTTTCACTTAAGAAAGTTAAAAACGTAAATCTTATAGTTTAAGAATGAAAAAGAAATGTAACTTTCTTACAAAACAAATTATTTTCCCAATTTCTATTTGTTTCCAAAATTTCAGGTTTATTCCTTGAATCCCTTAAAAGCTCTGTAAACCGAAGTGAATACGAACATATAGGACGAAACCAATAAGCACATTTCCCATTTTTTTTAGAAATGCTCTAAAAACAAAAAAGCCATAATAAAAAATAATTTAATAAAAACTTGACTTGAGCTACTTGAATGATGAGTCGCCAACCACAATCATTAATGTTTACATATTTACACACACATATATATTTGACATTATATAGAAAGCCATACGTAATATAACATCAGATGTTATTCTGACATTCATTCTATACAAGCTGTTAAAAGAACTAATTTTCTGCAATTAAAATTTTTCCATATAAACAAGAATACATATGTAAATACTGTATATGTTGTATCATATGCAAAAGAATGTAGATTTGCATAAGCAAGTACTAATTCCTACAAAGAACTTTAAATTTTCTGCACACGTATGGATATTCACTCTCGTCAGTAGCACAAAATGTAGTTACATACATATGTAATATCAAATATATGTGAGTATTGGAAATAAAATATACCGAGTGATGCTATAACGTGACATAATCTCTCGGGAACAAAAAGATGGGAAAATTTTATGAAAAAAATCGTTCCCTGGGGGGGTTTTTTACACCGCTGCCGCCAACTGGGATAAGTTGT